CCACACCAAAAGGGCCTTGTCTGAGCTGGCTCCTGTCTCCGGGGCCTGCCCCAGTAGTTGGGCACACAGGAGATTGTGGTGACCTTGAGTGTGGATGGCCCCAAACACTGCACTGCGTGTCTGTGTGCAGCTGTGGAGGCCTCAGGAAGCCCACTGAGAGAGTGGGCCTGTTCCGAGGCTTCAGGCAGGGAGCCAGGGGCTGCCCCTTCACCAGGGAACATTGAGGAGCTTCTGTGTACGCTCTGTATGTGTCTCAGCTTTCTTTGGAATTATGGCAGAGTCTGGCCCTGCCTGGTCTTTTTGTGCCTTGGATCCCAAGTTAATACCCGAAGGAACAGTGCCCCTGTTGACATACTTGATATGGAAGTTGCTGTCCAAGGGCCTTGTTTTATCCTCGTTGCCACTGACATCACACCACGTACAGTTCTGAGATTCTCACTTTAGTTTTGATTGAATAGAGCTGTGATCGTTGGAGCAGAAAGAAGCCATTCAGATGTGAATAGACGTGTCTAGCAACATGCAGATGTTTTTTGGCAGGTTGATGAATATTTTAAGTCTTTTTCAAGAAGTAGAAAAGGGTCAAACTGGAAATAGAGAAGATTCTGTGGCAAGGGAAAAGTAGATTTCATTTCTCTCCCGATCTTCCTTTTCTTAAAATAATCAAACAAAAAGCAGAACCAGGATTTAAATCTTGGATTTGTCATATCCCTTAAGTCTCCTTCACATGGGAGTTGTGATTATGACTCTCACATACCGAACCTCGCTTCTTAGCCCCCAATTTTTTTTTTAAGTAAAAAGGAAACACGGGCTAATATTAAAAATAACAGCAGAATCTCCAGATTGGATCTCTGTCACTTATTTATAGGTCGCAACCCAGGACAGAGTGGAAAGCAGGGCCATGCCCTGGTTGTCCGTATGCTATGTGTGGTATGTGGGCACACCCTGGGCCTACGTCGCCCACCCCTCCCCAACACACGCACACACCCCCCTGCCGAACTTGCAGCTTGAGTCAGCGTGTGGCTTCGCTTCCTTCACCCCCGTCGGGTGGGTTCTTCCCCGGCCACGGTCACCGGCCCTCCCCCGCCCCCTCGGTCAGCAGAGCCGGCCCAGGCCCCCGTGGCGCGCAGCACAGCCCTGGCCGCGCACACACACCGGCCTGCGAGCAGGGGACACCGTGGAACAGGTACTGCGTAGCGTGCTGGAGCAACACGGACGCGAGGAAGTCTGGCTCTGCACAGAAGTGGGACCAAAGGGAAACAGGAGCGGAAAGGCGATCTTTGCCCCGGGCCCCCGACAGCCACAGCTGCCTGGGAGGAAGCTAGACTCACCGGGCAGGGTTGGTGAGTTTGGAGTGACAGCTGGTGCCAGGAGTCTGCTGGGGGCTGCGCCTAGTTTTCTGGCCCTTCCCAGGACAGAGGCAAGTAGAAAAGACGGGGTCACTGCAGGAGGGAGCTTCCCACTGGCTGGCTCCTTAGCCAGCCTCTGCCTCAATTTCCCACCTTCCACCAGCCTCTTAACCCCCAGTCTGCCCTGTGGCCCTGCCGAGCCTCTTACCCCTTGTCTGAACGTGTGGCTGACGCCCCTTTGTGCCTGTGCGTTCCTCTGCCCTGTGGTAAGGTGCCCGTGGGGGGCGCCACGGGAGATGTCCCCTGGGAGGCTGGAAACAGGAGAGCGGCGGGGCCACAGGGTGGGCTGCATCAAGGGAGAACTCAGAGCTGAAGGCCTCTCAGTTAGTTCTATTTTTAGAGTTTTCTCTAAAAACAAAGCTCTCTCTGCATCCTCCCAAAGATAGAGGATTTGATCGGATCTAAATAGTTGGGAGCAGCTCGTTTTTTGGCCAGGGCCTTATCCTCTGGCTTCCCTCCCTGCAGGCAGTCACACGTTTGCAACATCCATGGATCAGCCTTTTCCACTGGGGAATCTGGGTCACTTCAGTCATGTTTCTCAAAACATTAGCACGACTTCAGCAGGAAGAATTAAAGCATGGAAAGTGCCCTGATGCCCACAAGCCCGCGGCGGAATGCAGAGTCAACTATTGAAAATGTCTGTAGACCTACATGCGCCTGTGTCCGCACAGACACGTACACACGCGGGGAAGGAGAGGTCCCTCTTGCCTTAAAGCCTTGGAAACTTAAAACTTGAATATCTCAAAAGTTTAGTTTTAGAATAGAAATAAAGTAGGAAAATTGATCATTTTTTGAAGAATAATTGTTTTGAATGTAAGGCAAAAGGTACTTCTGTCTTTTTTTTCTTTTAAAGATTTACTTACCTATTTTAGAGAGTGCACTTGGCGGGGAGGGAAAGGGAGTCCAAGGATCGTGAGATCGCTACCTGAGCCAAAACCGAGAGTTGGACACTCAACCAACTGTGCCACCCAGGCGCCCCAAATAAAAGGTGCTTCTAGTTCACTTCAACATCTGATGACAAAATTTATCTCTTCTCAACTTTTCAGAAACACACCCTTTATTTCCGACAGATATACCTGGTTTTAAAAACAAATGCCACCCTTCATACCAGACAGTGTTTGCCCTGTGAATTTTACTTTCTGGCAATTTTATCTCACCAAAGCATATCCTCTTTGAAACAATGGAGCTAATGCCTAAAAATATCTCAGGCTGTGCTTGCTGGGAGTCTTTGAAGTTGAAGCTGTGACATCCTTCTAGGTTATGGCTGCAGGATGATGCATAGATGTATTGTCTTTGTTAATTAACTCCATCTGTTTTATAAGCCTGAAAAAGAAATTGGATGAAGCTGCCTATATGGAGGGATAGATGATATTCCCTGTGCCATAGTGAGCCAGCAGCCCCGGACAGGTTTTCAGTTTTCCTTTTTGCTACCAGTTGCTCAAGTGCCATGGAGCCAAGGCTCATTCTTTGAGAGCCTGTTGTTGAACCGGGCATCCCGCGCAGTTGCACTTGTGCTGTCTGTAGGAGAGAGGTTAAGTTACCTCACTACTTTGGGAAGGGCTAATGGTTCTCCCAGGTGCTCTTTCTGTGGCAGATGAGGACATCTCTCACCTTGCAAATAGAAAATTCCATTCTGTGAATCAGAACGACAACCTTCCTAAACCTCTTTTGGGAAACGTTCAAGTGGAAGCCAGAGTTCCACTGTATGTATGTTCCCTTTGGTGAAAAGGTTTGTTTGATTGATTGATTGATTGATTATGGGGGGGGCGGGGAAGATGGGCAGAGGGAAAAGAAGAGAGAGACCTTCAGTGCAGGGCTCGACCTCATGACCCTGAGATCCTAACCGGAGCCAAAAACCAAGAGTCAGCTGCTTAACCGACTGTGCCACGGGGGCACCCCTGGTGAAGAGCTTTCATGGTACCGAATTACTCTTTGCTGGTTATAGGGAGGCTAGTTAAAAATTTTGGACAATATGGATTCCCTTTTTTTTTTTTTTTTACAACTCAGCAGGATCCGCATCCCCAGTGGGTTAGCCAGGAGAAAGGCATGTATTGCCAGGTGGCATTTCCCTGGTTAGGCCAGGACAGCAGGTCAGAAGCAAGCAGGAGATGGGGCGAGGTGGGTTGCTAAGGTACGGCTGCAGTGGCATGCTCATTAGCACATTCTCTCCCTCCAGCCCCATGCTAGTTCTCCTGCATGTCTGCAGTGAGTTCATGATTTGAATACCCATCTGCGGAAGACAATATATGAGTTTCTAATTCTCTTCCCCATGGTCATTTTTTTTTCTTCCCTTCATTCTGAGTCATCTTTGATTAAACAAAACAAAGATGTTACTGTTAATTATGCACCCTTTCAAACAGTGCAAAAATTCTTTTGTGCGTGTGTGGGGATGGATGGTTTTGATGGGGAGAGTGATCTATGATGGCAGTATTTTAAACCGTGGACCGGGATGCTAGGGATCCTAATGGAAAAAAAAGTGTAAGTCTCTACTAAGATAGGAAAAATCGTTTCTGCTTTTTTATTCTCATTCCTCAAACGTTTTCCTTTCTGCCCTCACATGGTCAACATAATTCCATTCAAGTATCTTTATTCTCTTTAGACGTCTTATTAAAACTTAGTTCATGGGGATCCCTCAATGGCTCAGTGGTTTAGCGCCTGCCTTCAGCCCAGGGCGTGATCCTGGAGTTCCAGGATCGAGTCCTGCATTGGGCTCCCTGCATGGAGCCTGCTTCTGTCTCTATGTCTCTGCCTCTCTGTCTCTCATGAATAAATAAATAAAATCTTAAAAAAAAAAAAACAGTTCAAACAGCTAAAATTGCAAATAATAAATGAGGTACCATCATACTGGCAGGTTGTAGGCGGAGTGCATGAGCAAACTGGAAATCCGCCGTCGTCCTCCTGGCACTTTAAAGATCAATGTGACATGGGCAGGGGTGCTACAAAATCAGCACCCAGCTCTGCCGGGGGGTGTTGGCACAAGGTTCTAAGGTAATCCTGGGGCTGGAGTCCCGTGGACACGTCGGTGCAGGCTGGGGGGTTGGCACACCTCTCCTAGAGGGGAACTCCAGCTGATGGGAAAGAGGGACCATACCAAGAAGGTGGTTTTGACAGTAAGGCCCACCCACAGTCTAGGAAGTGGGGCACAGATGGGTTGAGGTCCACAGAAGGGAAGAGTTAAGCCAAGAGATGAGTTGAATAAGACCTTAGAAGGCTCTTTTTTTTTTTTTTAATATATCCCAACTATGGATGACTTGTAGGAACCCAGAAGGGGTGTGTGTGTGTGTGTGTGTGTGTGTGTGTGTGTGTGTGTGTGTGTGTCTGTAAGGCTCCATCTTTATTTTTCCTGACTCCAGAAACTCAAAATCTTGTGTTGGCCTCCTCTTTTGGTACAAGGCCAGGTCTTTGTAGTTGCAGGCAGGTGTTCGTGGCAGCTGTGACTTAGCAACAATTGTGTAAATGAGGAAAAAAAAAAAAAGAGTTGTGGGCAAGTTGATTGCAGCAAATGGAAATTCTATGGTGGTACTTTGTGGGAGGTTTATAGGCAAAGAGTGTTCAGTTCTCTTTTGATGTCTGTTTTTTTTTTTTCTTCTACAGTTTTTTGAAGAAGCAGGATGCTGATCTAGACGTGGAAAAAGTAAGTTGACAAGTTCTGCCCTGAGAGCACATGCCTTGTAAATCGGAAAGTGTGTCCCATTGGGACCCAGGACTCGGTCCACTTTTGAACTCTGAGCCTGTAGGTTTCTAAGGGAGACGTTGAGTTGGGAGATGGAGCTGGCACATGAATAGAGAGTCTCACCTCACTTAGGTGAATCTATGATTTCCCCCTCCTCTTAGTTGTAACGCTCGATTTTGGTAATTATGGGAACGTGTAGATGTTTAGCCATAAGATGTGTCTCTTTACCCCAGAAATAGAAGGGAACAGCTGTCCTGTGGCTGATGGCTTCAGGGGCTGCTGAGGGGTGGGCAGCCCTCTGCCCTCAGACTGGTTAAGGAAGATCCCTTCCGTCCATCCGTTTTTGTTTTTCTTTTCTACTCTGAGATAACTCGTGCTTACCTCTGCCCTAGTTGTGCCTTCAGTTTGTAGTCACCGTGTCGCGGGTCATCCTTTCACTCACTTGACCTTTTTCTGATGCCCACTGGGTGTTAGGCACCATGCTGGAATCTGTGGAGACAAGAATGGATGTGACTGACAAGTACACAGGCGATTATTATACATCGCAATAGGAATGTGCAGAAGGGGCTCTGGACGCTCAGCCTGAGGCTGCGCTGTCCGGAAAAGCCCCTCGATGGAGCGCCTGTGTGAAGGAGCCCCGTCCCCGTAGTCACTGCGTCGGCAAATGTTTGCCGGGTCTTCTCTGCTTGTACTTCTCATCTCCCAGCTGCCCTGGGTTCCCAGGAGCGATTCCCGTGAACGGCTGGACGGACAGGGTCTCCCTGGCCACCCACGGGATCCTGTTCTGCCCCAGTCTCAGCAGCTCCGAGTGACAGTCCTCCGTCCCCTGGCCACTCAGGGGCCCCACTTCACCATCAAAGAATGACTTGGGGTTATTTCTCCCTTAGACTTCGGGTGTAAGAGAAGTTCTTCTCCCAGAACTAGAGGCACACTCCGCATGCAGCCAGTGTCCTTCGCGCTGCGGAAGTGTGCCACCCGGAATCTCATTCCGGAACGACTGCGGGCGACCCCTGCTTCTGCAGAATGGCCTGCCGTCTTTCGGTCACAGCCTTCCCTGCTCGTGCAAACCCAGGTGACTCAGGCTCTCAGCAGGCCGGGGTTGGACGGGAGGCGTTGTGAAATCCTGGCTGCTAAAGTTTGGGCTGTGGCAGCCAGGGGCTAGCGAAGGCACTGCTGGGTACTGTGGCCCGCGTGGGCCCCACAGCCAGCGAGAGCCTTGGGGTGCCAGGAGCCACCTCAGGACGGGGTGGCGCAGAAGAGCTGGGCTTGCCCTGCCTTGTGCCGCCCAGGCCATGGCCCGAGGTGAATCCTCCCACCGTGAGAGGGGGCGGGAGGTCCAGTTTATGGGGGAGGCGGGTCTGTTCATTGTGTTCTCAGTACAACCCGATGCCAGGCAGACAAGAGGGCTCAGCAAACGGGGTGGGAAAGCCCTGAGCTGAATGAATTAGCGTCTTGCTTCAGCTCTGCCGTTCACTTGCCCTACGACCTTGGGCAAATCTTTTCTCCTGTGAGAGCCCCATTTCTCTCATCCGTAACACGGTCCCATTCCCCGTTTCAAGTTAAAATCCTTCATTTTTTCACTTAAAAAACACAGAAGCCACACGTATTTCTTTGTTTTCTGACTTGGGCTTTATCCCAAGAAGGTTGTAAAGGGCTGTTGGCCACGAGTCTGAAGGATGCTTAATACGGCCCAGCAGAGGTTGGGAGTTCCTTGAAGGTGCGGCCTTGTCCGTTGTTGGCGCGCCCGGGACCACACTGTCGGCAGCGAGTGCCCAGTGAAGGAAGGAGCTGTGACCAACCCGTCACGTGGGCTGGGGGTTTGTAAGTACTGAGGGAATTCAGAATAAGAGAAGCTGAAAGTGTGGTAGGAGGTGCTTCTTGGACTGCGTGAACCTGAGCTGCCTGCAAGGGACTCTTCCGGCTGCACCCTCTCGGTCACGTAATTAATGACCTGGAAGACGCTCAACCGCCCTAGAGGAGTTCAGCATTTTATTTTTTTTATTTTTATTTTTTTAATTTATTTATGATAGTCATACAGAGAGAGAGAGAGAGGGGCAGAGACATAGGCAGAGGGAGAAGCAGGCTCCATGCACCGGGAGCCCGATGTGGGACTCGATCCCGGGTCTCCAGGATCGCACCCTGGGCCAAGGGCAGGCGCCAAACCGCTGCGCCACCCAGGGATCCCGGAGTTCAGCATTTTAAAAATTCTAATTCAAAAGCCCCAATTCCAGAATTTTTTTCTGATACTGATAGAAGGCTGTGGAGCACAGAGGTATAAATTGTCTTCGCCTGAGTTTTTATATCTGCTGAGAAGAATCTAGAGTGTGCCTCCGTTGTGTAACTAAGGGATACCTGCTGGCCAACCCAAGTGAAGAAAAATCACAGAAGTCATGGTGTGTTTTTTCCTAAACGGATTTTTGAGCTCTCTCTGTCATTTGAACATTTTTGTAAAGATAGAACTATGAATGGAAAATTGACCTTATCGTGACACGTCAAAGAATAAGTTCTAATTATTAATTATTCCTTGTAGGTTATTGAGATTATGCTACATACTGAGTGCTTTCTGTGTGCCACACTAGACAACAATCTTGTGAAGGAACTATGGCCCTTACCATGAGTCGCTTGAGGCACCACAGCAAAAACAAGGATTCTACTTACATCTGTCTGGGTCTAGAGCCCTCTCTTTCTCATAACCGTAGCTTACCTTGCAATTGATACAATATTCAAGACAATATATTTCTGTGACCTCTTTTTAAAAGGTTTTAGGAGTAATAAAAAAGCAATGTTACTTTCTAGAAGACGTCTGAATGGGGTTGCCCTGCCACCACGCACTTCTTCAAAGCCGTCATTGTTGTATAGTTATTTGTGCAGTAACCGTCTCGTATCGGTGTTCCCTATTGAACCGTAAGCTTTGTCAGATCTGAATCTCTACGTGAGCTAATAAGCCTAGTGCCTGGCTTCTAGATTGCCCTCTTAAAATGTTGACCACTGGCACATGACCAAATTAGAGTCCGTGAGAGCCACTTTGGTAAGTGGCAAAGTAAAAAAATCTTACTGTGTACTCCAGAAATCATGTTTTTCTTCTCCATCTATAGGTTTTATCTGTGGAAACCATGCCAGTTAATAGCATTATATGGAGATAAGACCATCACTCCTTGGCGTCCTCTTCAAAAGTACCAAGTTTCAAGTAGACAGATGAATAGATACTTCTTGAGAATGAAGTAATCTGTGCAAAAGCAAAGAAACTCTAAGGATAGAAGAGGGAGGAGCAGTAAGAGCACAAGGGAGACATTAATACTGCTTTTTTTTTTGTCTCAAAAGAATCTTCTTGCATTATTAAGGGATACACTTCTGAGTATGGTTTACACAAATCACTGATTTAAATATATACAGTGTATCTTCCAAAAGTAAAACCCATACTCAACTGAATTTTAAAGAATATGTAATCAGGTTAGGTCAGAAGGACAAAAAAAATGTACTTTTTGAAAAATAAAACTGATTAAATTGATTTATCCTATTTGGTAATTTAAATCATGATTTAAATGGACTTGATTAAAATAATAACTACTTTGGTCATAATGACTTTCAGAGGGCTAAGGAGTGAGGTTTGATTTCCATGTGTCCTGCATGGCCTCTATTTAGCATGATTGCAAGTATTTGACAGTTGTCTTGAGAGAGACCCATCATTGTTGTAGTTTCAGTGAGAACAACAATCTCTGTATTGCTGTTCTGTTTGCAGGGTTTAGATAAGCTGTCTTCAAGCCACGAATATGGCCATAGATAGACATACTGTCTATTTGATAGACACAGAGGCCACCCCAAATAAAAATTGTCATTCAAAAGAAAAGTAAATAGAATTATTTAGAATGTTTCCTTTATCCCAGCAAATTCCTTAAAATGTGTTCATCCATAAATGTAGAATGTATATAGAAGTTGCTCCATTTTTTATGTGTTTCTTTTGTTTTTAATAAGTCCCAAGAGAAATGATAATATCCTAGTTTCTTATTGTGGGGTTAATAGTTATTTAAAAAAGAAAATGAAAAAAATAATAATAAAAAAATAAAAAAAGAAAACGTGGTTCTATACAATTGGCTCACAATTTGAGACTGCATCTGGAATCAAGCTTTAAAGCCATGTGTATGTGATTCCTACATAGCTGCCCCAGAGATGGAAAAATTAATTCATGTAAGATTTTTCTTTAGTAGAGGAATAGGATTTTCAGGGGTCACAAGGTCAGCAGTGCTTATATGGGGAGTCCAAAGGCATGAGGATGTGTCTCTAGTGAGAATGTGTGTGTGTACTGGGGGGAGGCTATGCTGGTTGCCATAAGGAGGTAGAAAGCGTGAAGAAGTAGAGGGAAGAACACCCATAAGCAGAACTCCTTGCCCTCTGTAGAAGCCATTGCTTCTGAATGGAGTGCAAGTCTCACTAGGTGGTGTGGGGACCAGCCCTGGTCGGTCCCCAGATGGAACTAGCTACTCCTTAGGCCTTCTCTGATCCACACGCTTAGAGCTGTCATCCCTGGGGCCTATGGGATGCCCACTTGTGTCTCATTCTCCAGCCTCTTACTGAGTAAAGGCTGGGCTTCCCGCAGCCTGCTTTCCTGGTGACTAGGGATCAGGGAAAAAGGATAGTTTTGGTGGGTAGTGGTGGGGGACGGGGACAGGGGAAGGGGGTTGGTGTTTGGGAGGGAGGAACTTGCGTAGAGCTCTGTTTTAGGTTGAAGAGCAAACGGTTTTAGTCCTGTACCAAAAACAGTTGTTCTATATCACCCATAATGCCTGACCAACTTTCTTTCATATAAATCTCTGGATTATAAACCTGCTGCCGTGGAAGAGAAACAGCAGTGCTGCTGTGGAAGAGAAAACATGCCCTCTGCCAATTCGAATTTCTAAGATAATAAAAGATCCCTCTTCCTAGACATGATAAACTCTGGCAGATGTTGATGACCATTGGAAGAA